CTCGAATATCAACGTTCTGGATCAAGACAAAATTCTGGATCGGATCGTCACTTGTGATAAAAAGTGGATTTACTTCAACACAACACAGGCTCGCGAATCGCAATTTGACTAGCAAAAAAGATCATGCTTTGTACCTGGCGGAGCTGCGGTGGTACTTAACACGAAGAGTATCTGAAAAGGTAAAACCCTCGACAGTAAGATGTACAACGAGATCCTAGTCCATGTTAACGCTGCTATCAATGAAAAACGTTCGAACTGAATTCCGGCGCAAAAAGGTAATGTTCCATCAAGATAATGCAAGACCACATGCGTCTGCATTCACCGGCTGGACTCGAATGGGATCTTTTGCCACACCCACTATATAGACCCGACATTGCTAATTCGGACTTTTACCTTTTTCACACCTGCAGCTACATCTTGTGGTGCTATCTTGCATTCTGCACAGGATGTCCGAAATGAGGTTGACCCATTTTTGGATTCACGATCACAAAGTTTCTGGGCCGAAGGTTTTGAAAAACTACCAAAACGTTGGCATAAAATCATAGATTTGGGTAGTGATTACTATACCCGTAACTAAAGATACTGCTTTCATTTTTTTTTTTTTTCCCATACTTAATTAAGAATGTTTTTGGCGGAAAACTTTCGTTGCAACCAGATATAACATATATGTAGTGCCTTATAAGTCAAACATTTAGTGAATCTAATTTCTTTAATCGATTATAAGCAAATACGTTATGGCTAAGAGAGGTATATCTTCATGGAAAGCTTTCAAATTAAACTGGCTCGTATTCCCATTACATATGACAGAAACCACGAAAACATCCCTTTATCAGACCATTCGGCGAGATTTAAACTTGCATCAAACCATCAATAGTCTCACTTGGCTTATTGGTGGGACCGGTCAGTACCTAAGCTACAGGTCATCAAAGCAGTATAGAACGTTCTCCATGGAATCCACGCCCGGTACCGTTTACTAAGGTTTATCTTAATTTATCTAACAGTTAACTTGAAGTTAAAGTTACTTTCCTACCTTGCCTTAATTTCAGCTTACAACTTCCGGCCAGAACGTATTTTCAGAATTGCGTTTGAATGCAAATGAGGAGAAAAAGTATTTAACTGTGAAGTTCTGCTGACTTCGTTAGAGAGCCTGAGATTCTGATCAGCGAGCGTTAGCCTTTTGGCGATACTCTCTCAGAAGCTATTATTACGCTCGGCCGTAAGGGGCCAGCTCTGTTATAATTTTGATAGATTCGGCTATATCTTTTTAGTTAAGTTTTATTGATTATTATTCCTGAGTTCAAACCCAAGTGGAGGCTTTATTGTAACTCCAAGAAGGAGTCGTCTGTTAAATTTATTTTGAATAATAAAGGGTAATTAACCCTTCGTACGTTTACGTTTCTATCTCTCTGAACTAAGCGATTATTAGCTTATCAGTTCTCAACGTTCCAGACACATTGTGGTACATTCAAAATTTGGAATCTTACATACTTTTTGATTATGGAGTACTGCGCGAGGAAAAGGGTGAGGCACCTGCCTCAAGTGAACGGCTATGAAGAGTGCCAAATTAGCTGTGAAATTTAAAAAAAATACATTAAAAATAATCATGATTGTTAACTTTCAATTTTGAAGAAGTACCGTTTGAAATATTACATTTAAAGCGATAACGAGGGCACTACATTCTTCAGCATTTACATTCTTTGCCTTCAATCAGTTAACCAAACCAAGAGACTAATTATTAATAATTTAATATGAAAAGTGGGGCAGGAAAATCATTATCCTATATTTGGACAATTTTCAGCGCATCATGATCGCATTACATTTATATAAATCTCACAAATTTATATAAGGCATCAAATTATAAATCTATGCAATGGTTTGAAACTAATAGCTCTAAGCAAATCAATTAAAAACTTTATTGAATTAAAAATTGTAAGGAACAACAAATGTAAATAAATATTTGCAATAAAAAAAGCTTAATTATATATAAAGATACACGCTTAATAGAGGCATTAACATAATATTGAATTTCAGATAATTTCCAAATACAATTCAGCCCTCTGAAAGTTCTCCAAGAAGACACCTCTCTTCTTAAATAAATAACCTGGTATGCTTTGTCGCCCTGAAGCGAAAATATTCTTGAGAAATCTGAAAAGTTAAATTTAAAAACGAAGATATCAACAAAATATGAAAAAGTGAAAAAGAAAGATTAATAAATCAAATTCTCAAGAATCAACTGATAAAAGAACTACTGCTTTTCCAGAAATTTTGTTTTCCCAACAGCGGAAATGAAAGCAAGGATAGATATTTTAATCTCACAAATAAAATAGAGACATGAAAAACTCAAAGAAACAGCGTCTGATTTCCAGTTTCTAACTGGTAAAGCATTAAAGTGTATTAGGTATTTTAAAAGGAGAAGCTCCTAACTGAAATATCCAAATCATAAATTGGGTAATCACAAAAATCATAAATACGGCTTTCTTATATTTCAAAATTAAAATAAACATTTTTTTAAAAAATCTAAAACATACTCTCCTTCATCCTCTTAAAAGTTATATTGGGATTTTGTTTTACCAGGGTTTGCAGGGTGTCCTTACAAGCTCTATTCTAGGTGTAGCTGCTAGATCAGAATCTCTGGATGCTTAGGATTATTGTCTAATTCCCATATACTGCATTAATATCCCAATCCATATTATTTAATTGGACTGACAAAGCAAATATATGCTAAATATGCTCCATATCACTTTTATTTAGCTTTGAAAAACATAATTAAAAATCGAACTGCACTTTTCAAAATTTACATTAATAAAAAACAATATAAAATACTATCTGTATTTATAAAAGTTCCACTTTGAAATGGTCATAAAGGAAAACTACTGGACAAATGTTATCAATCGTGGTAATCGTTGAAAAGGAGGTCATGGGAATTTATTTTCCACGGGGGGGGGGGGAGTTGAAAATCTCACCACCAGGTACCAGGGGAGAAATGGGGCCGTATGCAATATTGTTAAACGAAATAAGGCATAAAGACATCGGTTTAAAATGTGTTTAATCGTTTCTGAAACGTGTTACAAAACATGTTCAATGTGGTTTCCGAAAACAAATTAAATCGTATTACTACATTCTCAACAGCTGCTCTTAGCATATCAGCAGGAATGTTACGGACATGCCGGTGCATCGCATCTTTCAATTACGCCACATTGTTTAGATTATTTGCATAAATCAGTTGCTTCTTCCTGCCGTATGGCAATTTCAAACCACTGCGGTTTTGCCTCACTCCACAAACAGTTTCGTTTTAGAAAAAAATTAAAGACGTTTTAAACCGAAATCTTCATGTTTTGGGGCCGAATTAAAAAAATCACAAATTAACAATCTGTAAGAAAACGATTTCCGGAATGCACCTTTTGCGAGTGATTTGCTATCTCACATTTTCTAATCGCTAATTTGTGGTTTTCAAGAAAGAATTTCTCCGTTACACGGATGGCGCACTCGACTTTATCGCCTTTAAATGGTAATTTTGCTTAGGTTGTAAGGATTATGTTAATTTTATTAACAGTTAAATTTTAAGTTCCTTTCCTGTCAAATTCTTAACTTCAACTACTTCCGGCCAGAACGTAGTTTTGAAATCATTCTGAATACTTAATGAGGAGGAGGGGTATTTAAACCGCGAAGTCTACTTGGAGAATCAAGTTTCTGATTTGCGCGCGTCTGCCTTTCGGCTACTCTCTCTCTCAAAGCTGTTATTGTGCTCGGCCGTACTCAGGCCCTTGATAAGCTTCGTAGTCAAACAGAGTTAAGGGGCCAACTCGATTAGAATCTTGAAAGCTTCGGTTATATTTCTTTAGTTAATCTTAGATTTAGTTTATTTCTTAGTCTTTTAAGTTCAAGCCCAAATGTCGGCTTTTATTGTACACTCCGAGACGGAGTTTTGTTAAATATTATTGAAATAATAAAGGGTTAGTTACCCTTCCTTCTTGTTGTTTCTTGTTACACGAACTTAAGCGATTATTCGCTAACTAGTTCTTAAGATTCGTCACTTTCTACAGTAACTGAGAAATACACTAGTGAGAATCTTACAAGGTCAATGTTTCTTAAGGGTATACAACATGTTAAACCCGTGTAACAAAAGTTAGATTCCGACCCTTTTTTCGTTTAATAATATTGCATACAGCGCCTTTTCCCCCCGGTGATGAATTTTTGAACTTCTTTTTTTTTTTCGCGGGAAATAAATTCCCATGACCTCCTTTACACGATTACCAAGTTCGAAGTTTGATAACATTTAGTCTGGTAGTTCTTCTTTTACGACCATTTCAAAGTGGAACTTTAATTATAACCATCTTGTATATAGTTATGATTAAAAAATATAAGATTTAAGGCGTAATTTAAAATATAGTTACTTTTGTTGAATGTAAAATACAGATATAGTTAATTTTATTATGTATACAGAAGTTAATTTAGCGTTTCGACTGAAGTGAAAAAATACTAAAACTCTGACGGAGTCATTTAAAAATCTTGTTTTACACCAAGCAAACAGAGAATTCATCACATTTACAACCTCACTGATTTTACTGACATATAACATGCGTTAGTAGAGCTGAAGCGTTGCCTGGATAGTGTGTTATAGGAAAGTGGAGTATACATAATTCGTAAAATGGTACATGATGCTAGACTGGGATCATACCGTATGTTCATCCACTTCAAATATTTTTACAGATAAAAAATATTTAGTTCAGAATAATACATAAGATTCCTTTAAATATGGTAGCGGGCAGCATGACCAACAATTGAATAACAATGTTTGAGGACCGTTCTAAAAAAAAAACGCTCATGTGAATTTAAAACGTTTGGGGGGGGAGAATTTTATTTTTACCATGCATCTTAGCTAGTGAATTTGAAGAAAAGCTAATGAAAACTGATTATTTCTTAAACTTTATGAAATACAACACATTTATGAGAAACTGCTTGTTAGATTAAGCAATTTAGAAAAAAGAAAATGAGCAATATGTCTTTTGAGAATTTTTTATTGAAATATAACATATTTTAGATTGCTTCATGTATAATAAAAAAACAAACTGAAGAAAAAATTATTCTTCAACATCAGTCACAGCAATTTTAGGTTCAGTAGCTCGAGCAATCATATTTTCACTGATATTCCAAAGAAGCTTAGCTAAATCTTCATCCTCACTAGCTGCCGAAGGCCTACAACGACAGCAGTTGTTGAAATACATACCTCCACAGCCCTCAAGCTCATGGGCTGCAGCACAATACACTGAGGTAGAAGCTGCTTGTGCCTGTGAAACATTTCATTAAACTTCAATAAAATATAGTTCAAAAATTTCTATGTACATTTCAACTAAAAAATATAAATACAAAATAGAATGTGAATATGAAACAAATGTGAAAGAAAATGTAACATTTAGAAAAATATATAATAAATAAAATGAATATATCAGCAGAACATGAAGAATAAAAAATGAATATATCAACAGAACATGAAGAAAAGTGAAAAAGAAAGATTAATAAATAAAACTGTCAAGAATCAATAAATAAAAGAACTACTTTTTTTGAATTTTTTTCCCAAAAGATCAAAGTGATTAGACCAATAATCGAATTGAGGTTATAAAAATGAACTTTAAATAACACTTCAATATCACTAAAAATTAAAACTAAGTCATCAATTCAATCAAATAATATTTATATTCTATAACTTGAAACTTTATAGTATATCTTTTTAGATGATCAGGCACATTAGAATGAAAATTCTAAATTAATGAAAAGTATTTTCAGTAAAAAGCTTTTTATTATATGTAGCTTCCATCCTTGGATTAAAAGACACACCCAAGTTTTCAGTTGATTTTCCTATGTAAAAAAGATGCATTTTATAATCTAAAAAATATGGTATTTATTAAAAACAAAATACTCATAGACTCTTTTAAACTATTAAAAAAGATGCATTTTATCTAAAAAATATGGTATTTATTAAAAACAAAATACTCATAGACTCTTTTAAACATTTATGAAACCAAATGACTACATAAGATAGATACGTCAGAAAAAGATAGTTTTTTCCCTCCCTCTATTTTCATACTACAGTCAAAATACTACAGTTTAATCCGGACTCGTCGGGACTTCGGCGATTCCGGATAATCAGTTTAAATCTGGCAAGATGGCATGCAGAAATTATAAAATTAAAAATATGAAACCGTAATTTATGAAATAAAGAGCAATTATGATCTAAAGGGTATCAAAATTTACGAAAAAAAAGCTTAATACTTATTTGTTTACTTTATTAAACATTTCTTTCAATGCGCGCATGCGTAAAGCATACATTACGCATAGTCGAAATTAGAAAATTGCAACCAGAAAACTATTTGATGTGTATTTGTGATATTTATAATGACGAGGAATTTGATTTAAATCCTATCAAAGACGAAGTATATCGGGATGAAATGATACATTTAGTAAGGAATTATAAGTCGAATAAAATAAAAACATCTGCCCTGAAGATAAGGATAGTGCTGACAGATCAACTTCCAGTTCATTGCGCGCCGCGACGTTTCCCCCCACCCCCGCAGAGCAGCGTAAAATTGATAAACAGATTTCAGAATGGTTAGAAAAACAGAGGATATGCCTTTATCCATTTTTTGCAGCAATTCCAATTTTCGTTTGATGGACATCGAAACATGTTTCGTTTTGTAGATCCTTTGGCAGCTACAAAATCGGAAATTCTTTTTGACATAATCGAAAGTTCAAGCTTACTTTTATAAAATTGCTCTAACAGTCTGCACAAAAAATAATAAGCCGGATCCAATTCGAAGATTAAGGAACAACGCAATCTGCAACATTTACTGAAATAGATAATTTTAGCTTAGCTTATACCGTCCGTTATACATTAAACGCGCATGCGTAAAGGTATTACGCGCAAGCATAAATGCATATGCGCATGCGTCAACGCTTACGCATGTGCAGAAAGTTTGTAGTTTTGAGGTCCGGATTATATATCATTTTGGATTAATGACTTGTGACTGTATATCATGGAATTTCCACTAATCAGCTGAAACAAAGCATACATATGAACTCCTTCCACCACTGCTGCTAAAATCCTCAGAAAAATTTATACTAATGTCAAGTATATTATGATATTTTGTAAATATTTTTTTGTAAATTGTACATGTTTTTTTACTTGTTTTACACTGTTGTATATAAAAATTAATAAAATAATATGATCTTAATTATTTCTAATTCAGTTTTTGTTTTGTACGTTCTTTTGTTGCAATTCTATAAATGTTTCTTTTGTATTTATCTTCAATTTTAACTTGTATATAATAATTGCACATTTAGAAGTTAAATTAGCTAATTATATGCTAACATGTTAAATATTGTATAAATAACCATTGCAATTTGAATTTAATGTGAAATACCGCTAGTTATCATTTGCGAAGGCTTAATAATAAATGTTATCACAACACAGCTGTTAATAATATAATCTCACAGTGTTCATTAGGGTAAATTATTAATGAAATCACACAAAAGTTGCAACATTTTGATTTTTTTTTTTTTTTTTTTTTTTTTTTTTTTTTTTTAATTTGGATGCATTTTGGGGACCAAACCTATGATTTTTCTCTAAGTCTGAAGCAGGATCAAAACATATCCTGGCACTTCCAGAGCTACATTTTAATGTACACTGCAGGCCATTAAAATTGCAACACCATGAAGGAAAGCAAATATAAAAAATCTGATGTGTACACCACATGACTTCCTTGTACAGAATACTAAATCATACATATTTTTCTTACATTTCATTTAAACTTATTGGATTGAATTAAATCTACTTCATAGAAAGCAACATAGAATAAATGCGCTCTTTAAAATTCAATATAGTTGTTTACCACAGAGACACTCTGGCGCTAAGCTCCCTTAACAGCGTTACATTTCATTCATTTTAGAACTAAGAATGCACAAAATTTATATCATCTGAAGAATTATCTAATCATTGCCACATGTTCTATTCAAATATTGTAATAAATCTAAAATGATACATAAAAAGAAATTAAAAAAAAAAAAAAAAGTAAAAGAAAAGAAACAGTTTTTCACAGACGATTCAGTATTTCTCATTCAATTAAATTCAGTCCTCATTTCGCTACAAGGCTAACATACATAAAAACTCAAAATATCTATATTGAAAATTACGAAGCAAATTACGAAGCACTAATTTCCTCGAATAAATTCCATAATGTATTAAGCATGATTTAATTCGCTATAATAAAAGAAGGTCTCATCTTTGTTGTTGCGAAGATTAGTTTCTCTAGATTGGCAACAAATTCACTATTCTGCCAAGTTTCAAATGTAAACAAACATGGCCGCTATGGCAAAAATAATTAACTGCACTTAAACAGCTTTTAAATTGTTGATAATTCTACAAATATTGCATGCAGATTTACTAAAAGCATAAAAACCTTAATCGGAAGATAAGAACAACATAATTCAATTATTTTTTAAGCAAAAAATGCACAATTTACAAACATATAAGAATAAAAAAACTGAGATCACTGAGCCGAGTAACAAAGTGGATATATATTTATACACTTTTGGTGGGACCAATTGTAACAAACTATGAGGTGCGCATCTACATGTTATATCAGCCCTATATACAAAATTTTAACATTCTGAGGCTACTTGTTTTTGAGTTATGCAAGATACGTACATATGCACAGATGCCACAAAAAATTCTCTTCAGAATTCATTTTAAATAAGTTTTATAATTTTTTAGGTGGAAAAGAGTTCTTTATTCTGCCATGCAAGAATGCTGTTAAATTGCGGTGAAAATGGATATTTTTGTTGAAATATGATGCCTGAAACTTTTCGCAATTACAATACTTCCTTTTTACTTCGTACAAGAAAGTAAAAAGATATTTTATTGTACATAAACAGTGTGGTATGAAGACACAATTATTAAACTTGTAAGCAGTTTGGGGTTTACAGGGGTGTGAAATTAGTAGAAACAGCTGCCACCTCTGACAGCTAAAACAGTCTTTCTTGAGTTATGCATGAAGTTGAACTGGGCTTGGATGACAGAAACGGGCAACTCATTCTATGCTGCTTCAAGTCTATGCAACACTTTATCAACCATTATTGACTAATGGACCATTATCAACCATTATTGACTAAGGGATGCCAGGCCAGTCTCTCAACAACCCATAACCAGATGTTTTAAATGGGTAACTGATCTGGAGACCGTGCAGACCAGGGCAGCAATCGAATCCCCTGTGTGTCGAGGAATGTCAGAATACGACGTGCAACATGTGGTGTTGCATTATCTTGTCGGAACATGGTGTTTAGCAGGCCTCGAAGAAAGGATACAACCACTGGATGCCAGAAATGTATCGATCTGCATTCAAATTACCATCGATCTGAAATAGACATGTGCATGTCCTGTACCCAATGGCTGCCCAAACCATCACCAGGTGCAGAGCCTCTATGATGATATTGAATGGTCTACTAATTCCAGTGGCATGGTCTACTAATTCCTCAGATCCTCCAGACCCATATACAGATATCAGAATACTGTAAGTAGAATTAGGACTCATCTGAAAAGACGACATTGTGCCACTCCTGTAGCCAGCTTTGTCATTCGGCACGCCAGAGTTACCGTCTCTCTCTCTATGCTGTATTGTCAAGGGAAGCCAAAGTCATGGTTGCCGTGCTGATAGTCCACGCTGCTGCAAACGTCGACGCACCATACGAGTGGATATTGGGCATGGTGCCAACATGCCCATTTCCCGACTAATGGTCTGTGGTGTTGTTGTACGTTTTTGCAGGGCTAACCTCACAAATTGTCTGTTCTCTAGGGCAATAGTCATGGGAGGGCGTTGAGATCCTGCATGCCATTCAATATGACCATCAACAATCCATTGATTCCATATTTGCATGTCAGTGATTGGATGTCAACCAGTGCGATTGGTGATATCATGGAATGATAATCCACACTTTTGATAGGCAATGATCCTGCCTCTACGGAATTCTGACACTTGCTGTAGGCATTTCTTATTATTATTTGAGGCATAACACGATATTCTGAGCAAACTCTGACCTTACAAACCACTTTCCAAATGAGAAATATAATACAAAGCTTTTATTTTATGCAGTGCTTCAGATATAGTTCCTCTCACCTGTCTCATATAAATGCGCTGAAACACTAAACATTTGCGTATCCCAACTTCTTTTTCCTTTTAAGTGATTTTGACATTCATCAGATCATTCCTTCCTGGTGTTACAATTTTAATGGCCAGCT